CGCAGTTTTTTTTTCTATAAAACATTTAACCCTCCTGTACACAACTTACTCCTTTTAAAGAAAAAAAATTGAAATGCAAGGCTGTGTAAGATTTGTTTTTAAACTGTACAATGTCATTTTTTTTTTTTTTTGTATAGATAACACACTACTGAATGCATCTTTAGATAGCTCTGTCCTGGTGGTATTTTCACTCACCACTAACCTTGCCTGGTACAGGATGGGGGTTGTAAATTGGCTTGGAAATTTAAAACAAGTTCTTGTTGGTGCCCAGCACAAATTAGTTATATATGGGCACAGTAGTTTTTCATCTTCAGTTGTCTCTGATGCAGCTTATATGAGATAATTGTTCTTCTTTTAACTGAATATCACTCTGTAATTGCAAAAAAAAAGTTTCAATCGTTGATATTCTAAATGCTTCTAAGTAAATACAATTTTTTTTTATCTAAAAAAACCTGCAAACAGCAAGGTGCGGTGGTGCATACCTATAATCTTAGTAGCTCAGAAGACTGAGGCAGGAGTATCTTGAGTTCAAAGCCAACCTCAGCAAAAGCCAGGCACTAAGCAACTCAGTGAGACCCTGTCTCTCCAATAAAATACAAAATAAGGCTGGAGATGTGGCTCCACCCCCCAAAAAAGCTGGCCTTGGGGCTGGGGTTGTGACTCAGTGGTAGAGCCTTTGTCTAGCATGTGTGAGGCACGGGGGTTCCATTCTCAGCACCACATATAAATAAAAATAAAGGTCCATTGACAACTAAAAAATATATTTTTTTTAAAAAAGTTGGCCTACTCTATATTTCTTCTAATGATCATTGCCCCCATATCAGACAAGTGCCACAGGCACTCCATTTTCCAGCCCAATTTCACCTTCCACCTACACCTCACCCCAACTAGCCAGAGGTGACAACCTTAGTAATTTTGATGCTACTTTATGCCAAGAGTGATCAGCACTCACTCACCATTAGTTAGAGTGCCCCTATTCCATCAAAACAGAAAGCAATTCAGTTTCACAATCCTGTCCTAGGAGTCTTTTTTCTAGCAACACTCTTGGGACCATCTGTCTCAGGGGTAAAGTGACCAAGAAGTGAGGCGTGGAGTGTTGTTTCTATGTGAAGTCAGTGGATGGTAAAGCCACATTGGTCACTACAGAGAGGCCAGGACAGACCTGCAGAAATGTGACACTTAGAGGCACAGAAGATGTCCAATTGAAAGGCATATTATAGATTTTCTTTCCAAACAAGGTTTATTTCATTTGCCTTTATTGATGTGGCATGATGAATAGGTTTGGTTCTCCTTCTGGCATCTTATTTTATGTCATGCTTTCTCTCTCGAGTGCTTCCTTTGTTTTGTATCTTTTACTCTGTGGTGTGGATGTGTATATTCTGCAGGCTGTTTCACTGCATTGATGGCAATTTAGCAAGCTGTTTCTTCTGGAACCACCAGACTTTGTCAAGACAAGATGTGTCAGATATGTTAAGATGTGATCTGATGCATGAAACCTACAAATCCACACACAAATGCTCTTCTTGTTTGCTTTATTGTTTTCTGTGTTCCCTCCACAGGAATCCTGATGAATTTTATTTTGCCCAATGACCAGAGAAAGGGAAACAGAAAGGTTGGTGTGCTTGTAATTACATACACCACTTTAATGAGAGCATTCCTGAGAGAATTTTGATTTGGACTAGGGTTAATGAGAAACATATCCTTCACTTACAGTTTCACCTGTCTAGTGACTGGAATAAATTTCTACATACCAGCTTCTGGCTCTTTATATTTCACATCTTGTTTCTTCTTTATTACCCACAAAGTCTCAGTGCTGGGCACTGTAGGGCACGTTTCTACTGTGATGAATCACCTTTTTTGTGCCCTGTACCAGGTAAGGCATCTCAGAGCGGGGTAGTGAATCCCTACACTAAGATGGCTGGCAATCTTCCACTAAGGTGGAAAGACTACAGACCACATGAACTGATTCCATTGAACCCACACTAAACACATCCACATCAATGTCCCCTCACTTAGATCTCATTCCCCCATCAACCTACATGAGGCAAAGGAGAATTCTGGGCAAAAAGAGATGGTGATCTTAACTGATTGATGTGAAACTACCTTATATATGAAAATTTTACAAAAGCACATGCTGATGTGACCCTATTGTAAGGTTCATCCATTGCTGTTCTCAAAAGAGGTCCATGGTGGGTCCATGCATTACATGCATGTAATTTCAGCAACTTGGGAGGCTGCAGCAGGAGAATCAAAAGTTCAAGGCCAGTCTGGGCAGTTTAGTGAGACCCTGTCTCAAAATTGAAAAATAAAACAAGATGTAACTCAGTGGTAAAGTGCATATGAGATGTGAGTTTAATCCCCAGTACCACCACCACCAAAAACAAAAAAAAAAAAACATGGACTGAGGGATTGGAGGTTTAAATCTTTCCACCTATAAATCTGCTTCTGCTAATAATATAAAAAGACAAAATTGTAAAAGAAAGTGTGATGATGGCAAAAATCACAGCAAGTGGTGTCAATTAGCAGCAAGATTCAAATGTTATATAGTATTAACTTTAGATAACTTTATAATTTTCTCCATGGTGTACCTCTTGGTTTATTATTATTATTATCATCATCATCATCTGGGAATTGAACTCAGGAGTGCTCTACCATTGAGTCACATCCTTGATCTTATTTATTTATTCATTTATTTTTGATATTGGGGACCTAGGGGCATTTAACCACTGAACTTCATCCCAGCCTTTTTATTTTTCATTTTGAGATAGGGTCTTGCTAAATTGTTGAGGCTGACCTTGAATTTTTGATCCTCCTGTCTTAGCCTCCTGAATCACTGGGATTACAGGTGGGTACCTCCATGCCTGGTGCAATGGTTTATAATTTAACAGAAAGACATTTATAAATGTAAATTATCTAAAGAAAATCCATCAAAGTTCTGGATTGTTTCCCTCAAAACAATCAATTTAAGAAAATAAATATCAAAAACTTTAAAAAAGTTTTTTTCTTGTTCTATTAGGTTCCTCTGCCTTGCTGATGCCTGGTCTGTAGATTGTGTTAATGGGGTGAATTTGTAGAGCCTAATAAGGAGATAACTGTTTTATAAGAAAGGACTTAGAGCAGCCCTGGCCATAGAATTTTCTGCGAGGATTACAAAGTTCTGCATTTGTGCTGTCTAAAATGGTAGCCACTAACCACATGTTGCTGTGAAGCACTTAAATGCAGCCAGTGGGACTAAAAAATTGAATTAAAATTTTTAGGTTTAATTAAAGTATCTCTACTTATTTATTTTTGGAGGGCTACAGACTGAACACAGGGCCTCACACATGCTAGGCTATGCACTCTAACACTGAGTTCCATTCCCAGGTATTTTTATTTTTAGACAGGGTCTTGCTAAGTTCCCCAGACTGGCCTCAGAACTTCATCCTCCTGCCTCAGCCTGCCCATTAGCTGGGAGACTGTTGAGGAGACAAGGTCAAAGGACCATTCTTCCCAGAGGGACTTCCCAGTAGGTCTTTTCTTTATCCTTCTTTCTGGAACATGAACTGAACAACCAGGTAGGCCAGATAGAGGGTGGGGCTGACTAATCCATTGGATACTCAATGCCTAGGTCCCATTGTACTTTTAGGGGCCTTTTTTCTTTTTCTTTCTTCTCTCTTTTTCTAGTACTGGGTATTGATCCCAGGCACACTCTACCAGGAGCTACATTCCCAGGCTTTTCTATTTTTATTTTTTTAATATTTATTTTTTAATTATCGGCGGACACAACATCTTTGTTTTTTTTTTTTTGTATGTGGTGCTGAGGATCGAACCCCGGCCGCACGCATGCCAGGCGAGCGCGCTACCGCTTGAGCCACATCCCCAGGCCCCTCTATTTTTATTTTTTTGAGACAGGATCTTTCTAAGTTGCTCAGCCTGGCTTCAAATTTACTATCCTCTTGCTTCAGTCTCCTGAGTAGCTGGAGTACGGCAGGGGCCACCGGTGCCCATATTAATTTCTTTTAAAAAAATTTAGGCCGAATAAAAGTTTTAATATATAATATTAATATATTCATTCTTATACTAACCCAGTGCTAAAATAGAATTTAAAAAAACTCTTAATGGAGGACAGGGGCTCTTGAAAGCTAAAGTGCCTGGGACTCAGAATGTCCTGTGTGTGGGAGAGGATGTTTCTTCCAACATTGACAGCTCATCCTCCCAGGTGTCTGCTTGGTTGCGTCCCCTTTCAGTGTTCTCCCAAAGGGCATACTTGGATCCCTCGAATGAGCCCGTTTGCCCCAGGGACTGCCACGAACCGGCCAAAGCAGAGAGTTAAGGCTTCCTAACAATCCCAGGGTCGGAGGAGACCAGGAACTGTGTGGGAAGAGGGCGGGTGGGCGGATAAAGCACGCTACAGAAAGGTAATGCATTTTTAGAACCGCTCTGATACTGATCCATTCTACAAAGAAGCGAGGGCTCAGAAAGGCTGAGGAACTTAACCAAGCTCTCACCTACGGCAGGGATCCAAACTTCCGTGTGTCTTAGTCTGACACCCAATCCCAGATTCCTTCATCATTGATCCCTGGAACTCCTCCCCCAGCTATTGTGGGACTGCGGACCCGGCAGAAAAGGTTGCTTCTTTGCTGACCACTCTTTCCTCCCTAAGGGCTTTTCCCTCTTCCCCATTCCTGATCCCTGGAAAAACATCCTTCCCGAGCTAATCCTAAGAAAGATCCTGTAGGATCTCTGGGCCTCAATTTCCCCCTTTGTGTGTGCGCTGGGGCAGGAATTTCCTTTTTATTAACGAGGAGAGCAAAGAGAAGGAAGAGAAGGACGTGACTGGTGATAAGCCCCTAGATTCGAGTGCTTCCGTAACCCCCCTCCTCGCTCCCGCACCGCGCAGCGTGTGGCGGGCGGGAGTGGAGTTCGGCCCCTTTAAATCCCGGCCGGGAACGCCCAAGGCCGAGCCGCGCGGGCGGGACCTGAGGGCCTGGCGGTGCTGATCCCGGCGCGGCCTCCTGGCGCCTCCCCGCGTTGTGCACCCCGGGTGCGCCCGCTGCTCCCGGCACCGCACCCGGTGGCCTCGGCGGTCGGAATAATGAGCCGCATCTATCACGATAGCGCCCTCCGGAACAAGGCGGTGCAGAGCGCGCGACTGCCCGGGGCCTGGGACCCCGCCACCTACCAGGGGTAGGCAGTGAGCGCCAAGCCCGCGCCGGGTCCCCGCCGCCCCCGCGGGTAGACTGCGCTCGGGGCCTGGGCGCGCGGCCTCGGCTGCCTCCACTCCTGGGGTCTGAACCCCGCTCCGAGGCTGGGGTGGGACGCGAGGGGGGAGGAAAAGCCCGGTTGCCCGAGCCGCCTTTCGGGCCTCCAGTCCACGCCTCCCAGTGCCCCTGCCCACTGCGCCCCCCGAACCCCAGAAGATGCGGGTCCTCCTAAAACTCCCCGCCTGTCCGCACACCAGCGGGGAGTGAATCCCGACCTCCAAACAAGGCTCCAAAGGCGGTGCTTCAGTTGGCTATAAATTTCAGCCATTTGTCATGCTGCTGTGCTTCCAGGCCTTTGCACAGGCTTGTGCCCTGCCCCAGAAGGGACGGTGGCCATTAGTGACCGGAACAGCGGTGGGAGTCGGTATTATGGGCTGGGCTAGCGCAGGAACCGGGTGTGGAGGAACCCCAGCGGGCTGGAGAAGGAAGGCCCGGCCCGGCCCGGCGTTATGAGAAGCATTACTCATTCCATTTACAATTACAGACACCAAAGAATTATGCTAAGCGTAATCAACTGGACTCAGAAAGGCAAATACCTTAGAATCTTCTATGTGGAATCTAAAAAAGTGTAACTCAGAAGCAGAGAGAGGATCGGAGGTTTTCAGGAATGGGGGATTGGAGAAGGGGAGAAGGAGGAAGCCAGGATATAATCAAAAGGTTTGATTTATATGAGGAACAAGTTCTGGGGATCTAATGTACTGCATGGGTGGTGATGGATGTGTTTGTTAATTTGATTGTTATTATCATTACACAATGTGTATGTATATAAAGTTACTACATTATACACCTTGAATATATACAATTCTTTATCAGTTAAATATTTTAAAATATAATTTGGGGGGAGGGAGTAGATAGAGGCAAGTGAGGTAGTGTGAGTTTTTGCTTCTTGTCCCATCCCTTTCCACTATCATCTTTAGTGGTGCCCACTCCTTTCCTTTTTATATGATTCTAAAAAAGGAAGCCCCTAGGATCTGCTTTTATAAAAACTAGAATCAGGAGTGGGGAGGAGGATCCAGTTCCTCAGAGGGCGGTACCCTCTGATCTTCAGCTGGTCTCCAAACTTACTCAAGTTCCCCACCTCTATAGTGACAAAACCCATTTCTTTGGGTTGATGATCACATGGGTATGAATGAGAACAAAAATATGGAACTGTTTCAAAATAGGTGAAAATGGAAGATAATTTATAGAAGCTTAGACACAGGCCCCAAATTTGCTTAAAGTAAAAAGTAAATTCTTTATATTTAGTAAGCACTTAAAGTTTACAAAATACTTTCTTTTTTCTTTTTCTCTCTGTTTTAGAAACTATTCTTTTATTTTTTTAAAAAATTGTTCTAATTAGTTATACATGACAGCAGAATGCATTTGACATTATACACAAGTGGGACACAACTTCTCCCTCTGGCCTTACATGATGCAGAGTCACACTGGTCCTGTAATAATACATGTATATAGGGTCATAATGTCTGTCTCATTCCACCATCCTTCCCACCTTCAAACCACCTCCCCTTCATTCACACCCCACTTCACAATCCAAAGTTTCTCCATTTTCCCTACCTCCCATCCCCTGTGTGAATTATAGATCAGCATCCGCTTATCAGAGAAAACATTTGGCCTTAGCTTATTTCGCTTAGCATGATATTCTCCACCTCCATCCATTTACCTGAAAGTGCCATAATTTCATTCTTTAAGGCTGAGTAATATGCTATTACGTATGTGCACTGTATTTTCTCATCCATTCATCTGTTGAAGGACATCTAGGTTGGTTTTTTAGTTGAGTTAGTGTGAATTAAGCTGCTATAAATATTGATATAGGTGCATCACTGTAGTATGCTGATTTTAAGTCCTTTGGGTATAAACAGAGGTGTGGGATAGCTGAGTCAAATGGTGGTTCTATTCCCAATTTTCTGAGGAATGTCCATACTGCTTTCCACATTGGCTGTACCAATTTGCAGTCCCACCAGCAATGTATGAGTGTGCCTTTTTCCCTACATCCTCATAAACATTTATCATTGCTTGTATTCTTGATGATTGCCATTCTGACTGGTGTGAGACGAAAAATTAGAGTACCTTTGATTTGCATTTCTCTAATCACTAGAGATGTTGAACATTTTATGAATATATGAATATTTGTTGATCAGTTGTATTTCTTTTTCTATGAAGTGTCTGTTCAGTTCCTTAGCCCATTTATTGACTTTTTTTTTTCTGTTAAGTTTTTAGAATTCTTTGTATATCTTGGAGATTAGTGCTGTACCTGAAATATGTGTGATAAAGATTTTCTCCCATTCTGTAGGATCTCTCTTCAAGTTATTGATTGTTTCCTTTTCTGAGAAGAAGCTTTTTAGTTTGAATCCATGCCATTTATTGATTCTTGATTTTACTTGTTGTGCTTGTAAGTGTCTAGTTAAGGAAGTCAGGTCCTAAGCAGGCATGATGCAGATTTGGGCCTACTTTTTCTTTTGTTAGGCACAGGGTCTCTGTTCTAGCGCCTGTCTTTGATCCACCTTGAGTTGAGTTTTGTGTAGAGTAAGACAGGGTTTAATTTCATTTTGCTACATATGTGTTTTCAGTTTTCCCAGCACCATTTGTTGAAGAGGCTATCTTTTTTTCAATGTATGTTTTTGGTGGCTTTGTCTAGTATTAGATAACCGTATTTGTGTGGGTTTGTCTCTGTATCTTCTATTCTTTATCATTGGTCTATTTTGGTGCCAATTATTTTGATGCCAATACCATATTGTTTTGTTACAATAGCTCTGTAATAGAGTTTGAGCTCTGGTATTGTGGTACCTCCTACTTCACTCTTCTTGGTAAGGATTGCTTTGGCTATTCTGGGTCTCTTATTTTTCTAAGTGAATTTCATGATTGCTTTTTCTAGTTCTATGAAGAATGTCATTGGGATTCTCATAGGAATAGCATTAAATCTGTATAACGCTTTTGGTAGTATGGCTATTTTGACAATACTAATTCTGCCTATCCAAGAACATGGGAGATCTTTCCATCTTCTAAGGTCTTCTTCAATTTCTTTCTTTAGTGTTCTGTAGTTTTCATTGTAGAGGTCTTTCACTTCTTTTGTTAGATTGATTCCCAAGGATTTTATTTTTTTGAGGCTACTGTGAATAGTTTCCCTAATTCTTTTTCAGTGGATTTATCACTGATATATAGAAATACATTTGATTTATGGGTATTAGTTTTATATCCTGCTACTTTGCTGAATTCATTTATTCTAGAAGTGTTCTGGTGGAATTTTTTGGATCTTCTCAATATAGAATCACATCATTGGCAAACAGTGATAGTTTGAGTTCCTTTTTTCCTATTCATATTACTTTAACTTCTTTCTTCTAATTGCTTTGGCAAGAATTTCAAGAACTATGTTGAATAGAAGTGGTGGGAGCATGCATCCTTATCTTGTTCTAGTTTTTAGAGGGAATGCTTTTTCCATTTTTCTCCATTTAGAATGATGTTGGCTTTGGGCTTAGCATAGATAGCTTTTATAATGTATGTTTGTAAAACATTGAGATGTTTCTATTGTGCATAGTTTTTCTAGTGTTTTGAACAAGAACGGGTGCTGTATTTTGTCATGCTTTTTTTGCATCTATCATATATATGATTCTTGTCATCACATCTGTTGATGTGATGAATTATGTTAATTAATTTCTGTATATTGAACCAACCTTGCATCCCTGGGATGAACCCCACTTGATCATGGCACACTATCTTTTTTATATGTTTTAGTATGTGATTTGCCAGAATTCTATTGAGAATTTTTGTATCTATGTTCCTCAGGGATATTGGTCTGAAGTTTTCTTTCCTTGATGTGTCTTTGGTTTTGGTATCAGGGTGGTACTAGCTTCATAGAATGAGTTTAGAAGGGTTTCTTCCATTTCTATTTCAGGGAATAATTTGAGGAGTATTGGTGTTAATTTTTCTATGAAGGTCTTATAGAACTTGGTTGAGAATCTGTCTGATCCTAGACTTTCCTTGGTTGGTAGGCTTTGGATGGTGTCTTCTATTTCATTGCTTGAAACTGATCTGTTTAAATTGTTAAACTCCTGATCCAGTTTGAATAATATATGTCTCTAGAAATTTGTCAATGTCTTTGAAATTTTCTGTTGTATTGAAGTATAAATTTTCAAAGTAGTTTCTAATTATCTTCTGTATTTCAGTAGTGTCCATTGTGATATTTCCTTTTTCATCATGAGTATTGGTAATTTGAGTTTTCTCCCTCTTTATTAGCATAGCTAAGGGTTTATCAATCTTATTTATTTTTTCAAAGACCCAACCTTTTGTTTTGTCAATGTTTTGAATTTTTGTTGTTGTTGTTTGTTTGTATCATTTTCATTGATTTCAGCTGATTTTAATACTTTCCTGTCTTGTACTGCTTTTGCTGTTGATTTGCTCTTCTTTTTCTAGGGCTTTGAGATGTAATGTCAGGTCATTTATTTGTTGACTTTTTATTCTTTTAATGAATGAGCTCAATGCAATGAATTTTCCTCTTAGCACTACCTTCTTAGTGTCCCAGAGATTTTGATATGTTGTATTGGTGTTCTCATTTACCTCTAAGCATTTTTTTTATTTCCTCTCTGATTTCTTCTGCTATCCATTTGTCATTCAATAGAGTGTTATTTAGTCTCCAATTGTTGGAGTAGCTTCTATTTTTAATTTTATTGTTGATATCTAGTTTCATTCTGGTATGATCTGATAGAATGCAGGGTAATATTTCTACGTTTTTGTATTTGCTACGAGTTGCTTTGTGGCATAACATATGGTCTCTCTTACAGAAGGATCCATGTCTGCCGAGAAGAAAGTATATTCGCTGCTTGAAGGATGAAATGCTCTATATATGTTTGTTAAGTCTAAATTATTGATTGTATTATCTAGTTTATAGTTTCTTTGTTTAGTTTTTGTTTGGAAGATCTATCCAGTAGTGAGAGAGGTATGTTAAGGTCATTCAGTATTATTGTGTTGTGGTCTATTTGATTCTTGATTGAGAAGGGTTTGTTTGATGTACGTAGATGCTCCATGGTTGGGGGCATAAATATTTACAATCGTAATGTCCTGTTGATGTATGGATTCCCTTAGACAGTCTGAAATGTCCTTCTTTATCCCTTCTGACTAACTTTGGCTTGAAGTTCACTTTATCTGATATGAGGAGGGAACCCCCTGTTTGTTTATGCAGTCCATATGAGTGATATGTTTTTTCTCAACTTTTCACCTTCAACGGTCTGTGGATGTCTTTTCCTAGAGGGTGAGTCTCTTGAAGACAGAATATCGTTGGTTCTTTTGTAAAAATCCAATCTTCTAGTCCATGTCTTTTGATTGATGAGCTTAAGCCATTAACACTCAGGGATATTATTGAGATATGATTTGTATTCCTGGTCATTTTGGTTTATTTTTGGTTTTTAACTTGTCTTAGTTTCTCCTCTGACTGACTTTTCCTTTAGTGTAGTTCCTCCCTTTGCTGGTTTTCATTTTTTTTCTCATTTCTTCCTGATGCAATATTTTGCTAAGAATGCTCTGTAGCACAGTTTTTCTAATAGTGAATTCTTTTAACTTTTGTTCATCATGAAAGGTTTTTCTTTCATCTTCAAATCTGAAGCTTAGCTTTGCTGGATCTACAGTTCTTGGTTGGCATCCATTTTCTTTCAGAGCTTGATAAATATTATTCTAGAACCTCCAGGTGTTTAGGGTCTGGGCTGAGAAATAAGCTGAGATCCAAATTTGTTTCCCCCTATATGTAATTTGACATTTTTTTCTTGCAACCTTTAAAAGTCTATCCTCTTTCTATCTGTTATTCATGATCATTATAGTGTGCCTTGGTGTGGGTCTGCTGTAATTTTGTACCTCTGGGGTCCCGAAAGCCTCTTATAGATGATTTTCTATTTCATTCTTTAGATTTGGGAAATTTTCTGATATCACGTCATTGAAAAGATTGTGCATTCCTTTGGTTTGTATCTCCACAACTTTGTCTATCCCAATAAATCTTAAATTTGGTCTTTTTATGTTATCCCAGAATTCTTGGATGTTCTGTTCATGGTTTCTTATTATCTTCTCTGTACAGTCAACTTTATTTTCAAAAGTAAATATTTGGTGTTCCTTGACTGAGGTTCTGTCTTCAAGAGGTCTAGTCTATTGGGATACTTTCCATTGAATTTTTAATTTGGTTTATTGTTTCCTTCATTTTGAGGATTTCTCCTTGATTCCTTTTTATTATATCTGCCTCTTTATTGAAGTGTTCTTTCACTTCCTGTACTTTCTCTCTGATACTATCTATACCTCATTTTGAAGATCATCCTAACTATGCACCTTCTAAACTCCTACTGACATTTCTTGTACTGTATTGTCTATGGATTCTATTGTTGGAACATCTTGGTTTGTTGAGATGGTTTTTCCTCTTGTTTGTTCATGTTTCATGTTGTCTTCCCATCTAGTTTTATGGATCTGAGGCAGTACAGTTTCTACCCTGCAATCGTAGAGTGTCCATGAAGGTTTCCAGTACCTCACCTTTAAGGAGGACACCAATATTAACCATACCCATACAAGCAATATACAGCCTTATATCAAATAGCTCCTATTAAGGCATCTATAGTTTTGTTGCAATAAACAGAAATGAGGCATTTAATTATTATCTACAGTATAAACAGTAAGTTTGCTTAAAGGGTTTACTGTTTCAATTGATGGACAAAGAGGGAACAGAAGTAGTGTAGGATGTGATATTTATGAGGGAGATGGAGAGAAGATAGAGGTAAAAATTTATAGTAAGAGCGAAGGAGGAATTAATAGAAGTTGGCTGTTAGCATGAGAGAAGTGAGAAAGAGAATCAGGGGAGGCAAATAAGTGAGAGGAAATATATGTAGATTTTTTTTAAATGTAAAAATATAAGAATACACATGTAATGTACTATTCAGACATCCCATTCCTCAATAAATTGATGCATGAAAAATGTTTGTTTTTAAAGATGGTAGAGATATGAGACAGAGAGGGCCAAAAAAGAAAAAAAGAAAAAAAAAAAAAAGAAGAGGAAAGTCTCAATGGAATATTGAATAATCATTTCCATTCATGTTCCAAAGTTTCTTAGCTTCCCTTCTCTGCCATAGTTGTCAAAGTTGATGGTAGCTCCATTCTGGTGGGTGCTGGACTGGTTGGCTGGGTGAGCTGATAGCACCCTCTTCCAGTCTTCGCACCCATTGTAGCTGTCCCCTTCTATCCCCTTGCACTTCAGGACTCACTGAGGTGGAGAGAGCCTGGTTCTCTCTAGTTTCTCCAACCTGTGCTTCCCCCAGATCCTGCCCCCAGTCTCCAGCTTTTCACAGGCTTGCCAAGCCCAGTCTGGGCCACACAGACCCAGCCACAATCTAAGGCATTTGGGCTTCAGATTCCCCAGGCTCTGCCTTGCTGCAGTCCCAAGATCTCAATGCTGTTTTAACTTGCAGAGGGAACCACCAGGGATGCACTCACACAAAGGAGCAACCCTGTAAAAAAGGCATCCAAATGGTGGCCACTAGCACACGCAGCAGGGAGCCCTCAGGTGCAACAAGACCTGAAGGTACACTGAGAATAGATCTTCAGGTCCTGGCCCATATCCCCAGACTGGCCAGTGTTCCCTGAGATGGCAGCAGTCAACCTGCACGTCCCTAGGCCCTGGACTTCCAGGCCCTGGCCCGTGTCTGCAGATGGTGGTGGCTGCTTGTAACCAAACCTGCGGGTACTCTGACAGTGGACTTCCAGGCAGCATTGGGCAGTGGCGACCCACAGGCTAATGGCTGGTGGTCTGCTGGGAAATGGCAGGCAATCCCAGTGTGTGGCAAAGGCATGGGGGTGGCAAACGGTGGCGGATTGGTGGGCAGCAACTCTCACAGAAACAGTATTTCCTTTGCTTGTATCCCAAATCACGGTGAGACGAGGAATGCAGCTTCCCTCTAGTCCACCATCTTGGATCTCCTCTCTTTTATTCTTTTTTTTTTCTTTAGTTGTAGATGGATACAATAACTTTATTTATTTTCATGTGGTGCTGTGGATGGAACCCAGCGCCTCACACATGCTAGGTGACCACTCTACCACTGAGCCCCAACCCCAGACCTCTCTTTTATTCTTTATATAGAAATTTACAATAGTTTTTGGTATATGTGGCAAATTGAGTTTCTTCCCTCTTGTGATACAATTCCAAGACTTTGATATGTATGTAAACATGTTAGACACAGACCACACTGAATTAAAACTTAAGAAACCAAAACTTATTAAATGTTTGTTTATACTAAAACACTCCTGATCAACAAAATACTTTCGTGTACACAATCTCACGCCATCATCAAAGGAGCAGTGTGAGGTAACCATTTTTCTCCCTGTTTTGAAGATAAGAAGACTAATAAGATAATATGACTCCCTAATGCAGGGGGTCATAGCTTGGTCTTAGGGCAGGCTGACATGGTTCCTTCTATACTTTGGACCATGTCCCAGCTTTATAGGGATGGAGGTTCCCATATGGGAAGTGCAGAGAGGGGCTGCTCTCTGCCAGGCAAATTGGAGATCTGGTGGGATTTGGTTCTGTCGCAATGCAGATTCTGGCATGGGCCACTGAACTTGAGTCATCGCTATTTCCTGAGGACTGACAAAACCCACCACCCCTTCTTTCATTCTCATCCCCAGGGGGAATGGCGTCCTGCTGGAGGGAGAACTGGTGGATGTATCTCGGCATAGCATCTTAGATGCCCATGGCAAGAAGGTGAGGATGTGTCCTTAGTGGCCCTCACAGGGTCACCCTTACCCTCTGAAACATCTCAGTCCTTTCCCATGAGGTATCTTCTTATTGCTGGGCTCTGACTTGGGATCTAGTCCCTTTAATGATGGACTCACAGAACAGGTGGAGAGATCAGGTGGGACCAGTGAGTAGAAAGAGGGCAGGTAAGGCTGTGCTGGGTAGCAGACAGGGGGTGTACCTGGTTCTTGCTAGAAAAGCCTGGGTCACAGCTGAGAAAACAGACCAGACCTTCCACCCAATCTAACGAGAATGTAAAGTCTGTGTTGCTGCCTGGACCTTCAGTTCCCATACAAATGCTCCTTTGGCCTTAGTCTTCTCAGCTTCCTGGCATCATGCTCCTTATTACCACTCCATCTCAGGTGTTCATGGACACACCTGGCATTCACCATCCTATACTAGCCTGTGTCTCTTCTGAGCACTAGTTCTGCATTTCTTTTTCTCTTTCTTTCTTTTTTTCTTTTTGTTACTGGGGATTGAACCCAGAGGCACTGTACCACTGAGTTACATCCCTAACTCTTTATATATTTTATTTTGAGATAAGGTCTCTATAAGTTGCTGAGGCTGGCCTTGAACTTGCGATCTTTCTGCCTCAACCTCCTGAGTTGCTTGGATTACAGGCAGGTGCCACAGAGCCTTGCTCCTCCCCTCTTTGAAACAGCCCCACACAGATGTGCTAATCACCTTATCTTGGTCTGTAAAACTCAGCTCCTCAAAATGCCCTCTGTGTGATCAGAGGCCTGGTACCTACATGGAGCCTGTTTCTCTTATACATCCCACAGAAAAGCCTCAGCTCACTACTATTTTCATGCCCAAAGAGGCTTTGCCAGCACTCTCAGCTCTTTACTGAGCATTGAGCAGGCCAGAGCTCTAAGCCAGCCTGCCCAGTCTCCTGGCCTGATGTACCCCCACACTGGTGTGGGACTTGTCTGCCTTTGCTGTGCTCACACAGGCAGGGTGTTTGCCCAGCCCCTCTCCAAATTTGCCTCTACCAAGTTCCTCATTCCTGATGATAGTGTAAGTAGCCTGTCCAGTCACTGGCCTGCAAACCCCCACTGTTGCCTCCTCCCTGCTACCCAGGTAAGCAGTGCTACCTCCTGCTGGGCTCTTACCTAACCATTTTTTTTCCCTCCCCTCTTTTCTCCTTTCTATGTCTTCCCTCCTCTGATGGGTCCTCAGCTTGTTCTGACAAAACCTTACACCTGCCTTCTGGCTGCCCCCAAAGCTCATCCCTGGCCTGCTGCCAAATTGTTTCCAGAAAGACATCTCTGAGGGTCTCACTGCTGCCCCTAAATCTTTCAGGATTCCTTCTTGTCTACTAAATAAAATTCAAGCTCCAAATGCCAGCTCAAGGCCTGTCTCAAATCAGCCCCACTTGTCTTCCCAGCCTGAGCTCCCAGGAGCCTCCCAGTGTCCCGTGTTGCTCAAACATGCACATGGGCCTCTTGACCTTTACTTTGTGTACCTGTCCCAGACACCCTTATTCCTACCACCACAGATTTCTTCACCTTTCGAGACTTACCTTTCCTTCTTTCTCCCAGGAAGTGGTCTCTGTTTCTACAGCTTAGGGGGACAATTCTTCCACCTGTTTTGTTTAGAATAGTTGGCAAATAGCATTGATAGGGCACTTCCTGCTTTGCACTGTGCTTCCTTCTCCAGGATGTCACTGAGCTCATACAACACTCCTGAAAGGGGACATCACTCTGTTACCAAGTGATAGGAGAAACGGAGGCTCAGGAGGCTGAGAATCCTTTGCCACAGGCACTACATCTGTTGAAAGGGGCTGAGTGGCTGTCCTTCCTAAGGGCTCCCCTTCAGTGCCCTTTTCACAGTACTCCTGCTTTTTGATATTTGATATCCCTCTAGCTTAAGTTACAGTTTCCTGCATATATTTTCAGTCTTTGGCTGTTTGGAAGCCCTGGGGTCAGACCCTGGCCTTCCCTATCATAGACTTCCGGCAGGGTGCACCCTGTGGCAGGTGCTCTAGTGAACACAGGAATGAATAAAAATTTGAGTTCGACGCCAGCATAGAGGGCAAGGACAGCGCAAGCTGCTCCCAGAGCCCAGAGTGTGTGTGTTGGTGGGAAGTTGAGCAGCCCTCCTCACTCTGTCTCTCCCTGGCCCCAGGAACGCTACTACGTGCTGTACATTCGGCCCAGTTGTATCCACTGCCGTAAATTTGACCCCAAGGGAAATGAAATCGAGCCCAACTTCAGCGCGACCAGGAAGGTGAACACAGGCTTCCTCATGTCATCCTACAGTAGGTATCCTCAGTCTTCCTCCCTCAGGGCCCTCTGACACATTAAGACCTTAGTAGGTCTGTCTTCTGAGCCTCTGGGCCCCTCTAAAGTGGCATCTCAGCATGTTTGGCCTTGACTCCAGATGTCTGATCCCAGGTTCCCTGATGGACTCATTCCTTCCCCATACTTGCTCAGAAGATCCCCATTGCCCCATCTCTATCCCAGGGGCCAGGCTGGCCTTCCCGACTCCTGCCATTTCTGCAGCATGGCAAAACTGTCCACAGACTTGGCTGTGGACTCTTACTATCTTTGCACAGAGATCCAGAGACCCAGCCAAGCCCCCAGGAGCTTGTTTTTCTGCTAGAATCCCCATTTGGTTCTTGGGCCCTGTCTCTGTCCATTTGTGCTGATACAACCATGTTTTAGACTGGGCAATTTATAAATGACAGAGATTTATTATGCACAGTGCTGGAGGTTGGGAAATCCAAGATCAAGATTCTAGCAGATTCAGCGTCTGGCGAAGGCTTCTCTCTGCCTCAAGGATGGTGCCTTCCTGCTAAGTCCTCACAAGGCAGAAAGGCAAAGTAGCTCCCTCCACCTTGTTTATTTACTTATTTATTTGGGTACTGAGGATTGAACCCAGGGATGCTTAATCATTGAGCTATCTCTCCAACCCTTTTTAATTTTTATTTTGAGACAGAGTCTCACTAAGTTGCTGAGGCTGGCCTTGAATTTATGATCCTCCTTCTTCAACCTCCCAAGTTGCTGAGATTACAGGCATGTGCCACCATGCCAGGCTCCCTCCATCTCGTTTATAAGGATGTCAATCTCATTCATAAGGGCTTAATCACCTCCAAAAGACCCAACTTCTTAATACTCTCACATTGGTGACTTAGTCAGCTTTTTCACTACTGTGACTAAAAGAACTGACAAGAACAATTTTAAGGAGGAAAAGTTTATTTGGGGACTCACAGTTTTATGGTCTCAGTCCATAGGAAGCCAGCTCCATTCCTCAGGGCTCAAAGTGAGGCAAAACATTATGGCAGAATAGTGTGGTGGAAGAAAGCAGCTCACATGATGATCAGGAAGCAGAGAGAGATAAGAAATACATACCCCCCAAAACAGGCCCCCAGTGCTCACCTCCTCTAGCCGCATTTTACCCACGTTCAGTTGTCAGTCAATTAATTCCCATCAGGGGATTAACTCACTGATTGGATTGAGGCTCTCATAACCAAGTCATTTCTCCTCTGAACCTTCTTGCATTTTCTCACACATGAGCTTTTGGGGATACCTCACATCCAAACCATAACAGTGATCAACATATGGATTTCAAGGAGGCACATTAAGACCTTGGAAGGTATTTCATGATTTTCTTCCATTTCCCAATTTTGACTGCAAAAGGTATCTCATTGCTTTCTGCTGCTGGGTAAGAAGGTTTTGAGATTGAGTGGGAATCTCTCATTCTGTTCACTCATGTTTTCAGTTGCTCATTAATTCTCTGAATATTTTGTGAACATCCCACGTGCTGAGACTCCAGGGATGAACAGGATTCCATCTTGTACTCAAGATAGTCTCAGTTGGTAGAGAAGATGGACGAGTGGATGATTGGAAGCTGGGAGGGTTCTGAGCCCCAGGTAGTCATAGTCAGCCATGCATTGGACGAGGGACCAGCAGCACTGATTCTTGATAGATAACAGGAATTAGCTGGGTGCTAGAGCTTGGAAGGATGTTTCAGAGAGAAGACAGTGCATCAAAAGATAGGGATTGATCTGGTGACAAGAAGTTGTGCAGGCTAGGTAGCAAAAGGGGCATGGGCACGAAGGGGCTGAACTTAAATGGAGGCTGCTGGGGAGCCCTTTAATGAGAGATATTAGGTAGCTAAGTGATGTGATTAAATTTGTTTTTATTATTTTATTTATTTATTTATTTTTGCAGCACTAGGGGTTGGACCCAGGTGGCACTCTACCCCTGAGTTATATCCCCAGTGCTTTTATTTTTTATTTTGAGACAAGGTCTTGCTAAGTTATTGAGACTGGCCTCAAACTTGTGATCCTCCTGCCTCTGCCTCCCAAGTTGCTGGGATTATAGGTGTGTGCCACTATGCCTGGCTAGATTTGGTTGTAAATGCTCTGGGATAGTGAATCAATTGGAAACCAGGGAAGCCATTTAGAGGCTGTTAGGGTAAGCTGGGATGGAGATAAGAGGACCAGATTGAAGGATATGTCATTGGGGAGTGAGAGACTGGACCAATTCCATATGGAGATGGACAGTGGCCTCAGGGTTAGACTGGATATGAAGGGAGAAAGTGGAAGGAGTCAGGGATGTTTCCAGAAGTTGGACTTGGGTGCCAGGCTTGGGGGAATGTAGGGGTGAGGGGAACAGGTTTAGGGGGAAGAACACAGTTTGGCTCACACTAGGTTAGAGTTGTCAGTAGCACTTCTATTGGAGACTTGGAGAAATGGAGACTTGGAGAATCCCATAAGGATCAGGAAACAGAACCACTGGAGAAGTCTGAAGGAAATGGGGAAGGTGTTACATCTCTGAAGGGAAGCAGGAGTGGGGAGCTAGCAGGGCAGGCAGGTAATGTCCAGGGAATGAGAAGATGGGAAGAGTGTCAGAGGGTTAACAGTGAAGAGCTATCCCAGGTATCTGATGGGGGTGGGCAGGGTCTGGGGTAGTGGCTGTCAAAACTAGAATGCAAGAAGAAGTTGAGGAAAGATCAGGGAGCATAGAATGACAGACCAGCCCTGGAGGAATGAGGATTTCTGGGACCCAGATGGAGGGACAGGCTCTGGGCAGGAGGGAGAATGTCTTATCCTTTGAGATAGAAGGAAAAGAAGAGAGTGGTCTTGTAGTCAGAGGCAAATTGACAAGGTATTTGGTGTCAGGTAAGCAAGAGATACCACCTGATGATTTCTGTTAATCTTGAAAAGTAGGTGAGATGGTTTATTTGGGAGTTGTTGGTCAAGGGGAAAGGATTGAGGAGAATGGAACATTTTGAGTGTCCTCTGCGTAAGCAAGGTTTTCTGGGGGAGTCCCAGGGGTGATCCTGACTACTGGCCAAGGCTATGGCACCATGAATGGGTCCTGTTGGGTAGGCACCATTTTTATCCCTGTTTTTCAGTGTCAGAAGTTGAGTTATTTGTCCAGATTTGCTCTAGGCAGCCCAGCTCCAAAGTCCAGCCTGTAGCTCCTCTGATGAATACTACCAGAACGGTACTGAGAGCCCTACCCTGCAGGTGGTTGTGAGCATGTAAAACACTCAGCCAGCTGGGCCTGGTGGCACATGCCTGTAATCCCAGCTGCTCACAAAGATTCTAAGGAGTATCTCAAGTTCAAGACCAGCCTGGGAAACTCAGCAAAATTCTGCTTCAAAATAAAAAAATGAAAAGGGCTAGGGATGTAGCTTAGTGGTAGAACATCCTTGGGCTCAATCCTTAGATCTACAAAAACACTCAGCCATCACCTAAAAGGCCCTCTGTTAGTCCTTGCTATTCACCCTTAATAACCTGCTGTTCTGTGTGCCTGCAGAAGTGGAAGCCAAGGGAGACAGCGACAGGCTCACAATGGAGGAGCTAAAGGGGCTGGTCAATAAGCTCGAGCTGCTGGCACTGACAGAGAGCCTCACCCCCGACCAGACAGTGGCGTTCTGGATGCCTGAGTCAGAGATGGAGGCGATGGAACTTGAGCTAGGGGCTGGGGTACGGCTGAAAACTCGGGGTGATGGCCCCTTTATAGGTGAGCAGTATGCCCTCACTCTAGCCTGATAGCCTCTTGTGGGCTCTGGGGGCCTTTAACATCCCTTCTGAGGCTCTCCACCCTTCCTGCTTAGAATTATGGGTGCATACCAGGTCTAGCCTTCCCTGGGGACCTAACCAACCCCTTGAGATTTATTCCTCAGTTCCTAGACAAGTGCCCTGGGTCATTAACCTGGATACCTATGGTGCCACCCAATCCTCAGGTTCCTGTGACTAACCCCTGCTATCTAGTGATTTGTGGGGTACACCCATGGCTTCACTGACCACATCTAGACCTGGAGAGAACAATGACTTAACCCAGGTCTAGGCCTACCAGAATGGGCCCAGCCCTCACTGTTCTACCACAGAGATAGGACATTCAACTTCTTCTCTTCTTTCAGATTCATTAGCCAAACTGGAGGCTGGAACAGTGACCAAGTGTAATTTTGCTGGTGACCGAAAGACAGGGGCATCCTGGACAGACAACATCATGGCCCAGAAGTCTTCAGATGGGGCTGCAGTGGAGATCCGAGAGCAGGGAGATGGGGCAGAGGACGAGGAGTGGGTAAGACAAGGAGGCGGCTTTGGTGTGCTTGTTATCTCTTGGCTGGAATTTTGTACATACTCATTGTAGTTGGGGCTCAGACAAGGACATAGCAGGATAAACTGTACCCCCTAATTTTTATGGAGTTCTGCAAAATTCCCCAGAGTGTATAAACATCAGGGAGATTCCTTTAAGGAGACCTTTCTTTTTGGAAAGGAAGCCTCTGAGCCGCTGAGTACGTGTTTTTTTCTCCTTGGTCTGGGCTCCCTGCCTGATGTGGCCAGAAAATGGCTGACTTGGTCCTTTCTAGTGTTTCTTATACTGAAGGTCAGCCTTCTAGTTGATCCTCAGCTGATTCAAAGCCAATTTTCTGAAGTACATTTCACCTGAAGATTTGAATTGATGTAAAAAGACCCCAGATAGAACAGTTAGAGCAAAGAAGTTAAAGAAAACTGGTATCCTCCTCTCATGATGAAGATGAATTTGGCCAAAGAAAGCCAGGGCAGGTAGTGCGGAAGGTCTAGACCCGATTCTGTCTTAATAAGGCCAGTCGACAAATAGTGGACTGGCCAGGCTGGCTCTGGGGTCAGCTCTAATGATGTGAGGACAAGGCACATGGCCAAGGGTCCTATGGGCATCGTGCATTGAGCCCTTAGTTTGATGACTTACAGAAAACTTTTATGAAATATGCTCTGTTCACCTCTCTTTACTTTACCCCCTTTGGATTGCTCCAGGATGACTGAGATTCATGAAGCACGGATGCCTCTGGGGCCACCTGCGTCTTCTATGGCACTGTGGACAATTTCCCTCAGCGACCTCCATGTTGAAGCTGGAGACCAGTCTTCCAAGCCTTACCCAGTTCTTCCTGCAGCTGCTCTGAATACCATTTAGAGCATGCTGAAATCAAATCCAAAACCACTATGTGGATGGAGGGATCCTAAACTGTGGCTTAAATGCAAGTCCAACCTTCCTAGATAATTTCATGACACCTCCTGCCCTAGTGACAGCCTTGTTTTGGAGGCAGGTAGTGGGCAAGTGCCCCGGGGCAGTTTGGGAGAACTGGACTTGGTCTTGGTGCTTCATGGGGGATTCTTCTCCTGTCTAAAGACAGAGGACTTCTGAGGAGAAATTAGTGGGCTCTTTTCTCCGATCTGTTTCCTGCTTCTTTCCACCCGGCCTTCTTCCCAGCACTCTGCTGTAGCCCCTTCTCCCCTGCTTCAAGCCTCCTTCTCCACCATTTCCTCTCATCCCACACCTAAGGTGCCAGTCCTTCATTACTCCTTTAACTCCATGTTCCCTTGGGGTTTCCTGACCTCCCTGGCTGCTGCCATAGGGGTAGCTGTTCTCAGGGAGGCCACAGCCTTCACAGTGTGGCTGATTGGTCCTTTGCTTTCAGACTTGCTCTGCCAGGCCACATATTTTTTTATTTTTGTGGTGCTGGGGATCAAAATCAGGGCCTCAAGCATATGAGGCAAGCACTCTCTGCCACTGAGCTACATCCCCAGCCCTGAACTACATTTTTGATACCCTTTTTTGTACTTTGAGAATGTTTTCACAAATGAATAAATTTTCTTCTACACTGACTGGATTCCTGCTTGGTGTTAATGGTCTTGAAGCTGAGCAATGTTCCTAGAAGAAAGCCATTGGTCTTGGGTCATGAACCTTGCCCTGGAAGTGTTCTGTGACAGTTTGTGACACCCAGATGTGATGAGATCTGAAGTGGAATCTGCATGTCCATGGCATATGAATCCTTCTTGACCTGGGGAAAAGAGGGTGGTGGGAAATTAGCATTTATTGAGTCTCTCCGATGTTTCAAACAGTGCTGGGTGCTTCCCATCATCATTACAGCCACTCACTATTGGGTTCTTCCTGGTGCTAGTACTTGTGCTAAGTACTTCCAATAGCTTGCCTAACTGTCACAATCCCATGAGGAACACATGAATATTGTCCCCATTATTTCATCTGAGACGGAAGGTCTAAGGCTCCATGGATACTATCTGAGAGAGGAATTTAAACCCAGGCAGTCAGGTTTCAAAGACCATATTAACTACTGGATGCTGAGAGCCATAACCAAGTAGGAATGACGCATGGCATTTTTGGGTTGAAAGGTGACCCTGCTCAGGGATTAGGGTGGCTCTGGGTTTAGGGTGGATCCTGCTGGAATAGGGTGGCTCCAGGTTTAGGGCGGATCCTGCTGGGATTAGGGCATATCCTGCTGCCTCAGGTGCCCGCTCCTTGAGTTCCTGTTGTTCTCGCGGGGTTCTGAGAGAATTGGTACGCAGAGCCTGGTGGAGGGAGTGTATTTTTCCCAGAACGTGTGTGTGTAGAGTGTTGGTGAGAGTTCGGGAATAAAGAGTTGCTGTTGGAATCTACAAGTTTTTGTGGTGGCTCGGTTATTTTGTGCCCAGACAGACTGCGGCATTTGGCGGCCCGTACGGGGAAGGCCTGAAGCTTGGAGGTAAGTGAAATTACTCGCCCCTGAGGGAAGGCGAGAGAATGGGTGACCATTTCAAAAAACAATATGTTCTTGTTTTGATTTATCTTGTTTTTGTTTCAAGCTGCCTATCCCTAGAACTTTCACAGGCAAACTGGGAAAAATGGTTGACTCAAGGTTTGAAGTTGTTCGCCCCTGAGGAAGAGAAATTGTTAGAGGAAGGAGGCACCCCAGTAAGACCAAGAACAGTTAGGACATATGTTGATACAATACAAAAATGTAGCTCATGGCTTTTTAAAGACGAGTTATTAAGTATATCAATGGGACCATCATGGTATCCTGTAGAAGGATTTTTCTTCAATAAGAAAGAGATGGCTAGTTCTGTTTACTACACTTGTCTAAGATCTTGGTTTTTACAGACATCTGATTAATTTACAAAGCTAAAGTGTTGAAACATCAACCACTAAATATAAAATCAAGTGCTCTTTACTTATTAAGTTCCATAGGGTAATATATTTAAACATTATGTGTGTTTTCATAAATTGGTAAATGGAAAAAAAAAAGTTTAATATTGCTTTGTGTCTGTGTCTTTGCTGAAACAAGGTTACTAAGAGTTAAGATTTTATCAGGTGTAATTTATATACAAAGAGTATAAGAAGTTTCAGTTGGGTTTCAATTATAGTATTATAGTACCATAAAAAACATGAAAGTATTTCATCTTATTAAAGTGGAGTAATTTGTCTAAATTCAGAAATTTTATAAGGGTTGTTTCACAATGTAAATTCTTAAAAAGGGTTAACGGCTACAAAAGAGATATAAAAAGATTCAAGATGTGGAAATATATTTTAATATAAAGGTTTAAAAAAAAGAAATGTTTCTAGATGAGATAATCTCTGTGTGGTAAAGTAAAAAGTTGTAAAATGCCATTTAAAAAGATTTTGAGGAAACTAGACTTACTTTAAAAGCTTGAGAAAGGAAGAAAGAAGAAAAAGGTTTTTGTACATGGCAGATTGAGACAAAGCTTCTTAATGGAGTAAAAAAAAAAAAAAAAAGCCTTTAGTTGAAGGGCAGCCATGTAAACTAACATTAAGCGATTTAAACAGAATCTAAGCCTCGTTTAAAAGAGTGAAGCTGTAGGTGGTGAAAAAGTACGTTTAAAAGTACAGTATAGGTGATAATTGGAAGGCTTTAAAAGGTTAAATTGAAGGTGGTTAAGATGCCTTCATGGCGGAGGAAAGATTGCGTCATTCGAAGCCTAGTTATTCTTAAAAGCATTACTTAAAAAGATATAAAAATATTTGGATAAAGAAGATTAAAAATTTGAAGTGAAAAACTTTAAAGACAGAAGTACAGAAAGGTAAAAAAAAAAAAAAAAAAAGATAGAGAAGATGTAGGAACATAGAAAAGATGTAGGAAGACAAGAATTTTAAACCCCAAAAATAGGAAACAAACAAACAAACAAAAAAACTAGGAGAAAAAAAAAGCAATTAAGGGTGAATGTACAAACCTTAGAAGAAAACTAGAAGATAGAAACAAGACAAAAAATGGTTAAAAATGTCAAATAAAGGTATTTCAGATAAAAAATACAAAAAGCTAAGACAACTATTAGATACAGACATTCGAGATAGAGAAAGGTAGAAGAGAGAAGTTTAAAGTCAAATATTGGATAAAATAGAAGAACAAGGAGATTAATATTAATTTTTTCAAAAAGCACATCAACTTTAATTTCTGGTGGTGCAGATATTAGAAGTCTCAGATGAAGGTGTTAAAATTTACAGACAAGAGCCAATTTAGAAAACGTTAAACTAGAAGGAAATTGGTTTAAAACCACATCAAAAAATTAAAAGGACTAAAGTAATTCTAAAAACTAAGGAAAAATGCTTTTGGAAGACTTGAATTTAAAAGGATCTTTAAATTTCCAAAGGATGCATATAGGATATTTTGGAACATCATCCCTAAAGAAAAATCAGTTAATGTTTTACTTAACAGGAATCCCATACAATCCACAAGGACAAGGCATAGTTGAAAGAGCTCATTAAACTATTAAAATGTACTTATATTCTAACAGGATAATGGAAAGCTCCTTACCCAGTGATTGTCTGGAGTCGGAGTTCTGTTTGTGAGTTTCCACAGGGAGAACAGCAGCCGATTTGGATTCCAGGGAGACTAACCAAAACAATTTCTACAGACCAAAAAGATGATTTGACTCAAATCCATAACAGCTGATATCCAGAGCTCCAGCTTGGCTATTCTTATATCTGTGACAGTGATTAACCAGGATGCTTTTTTCAATATCTATTTTATTATTGCCTTTTCCCACATCATAAAGTTCTATTTTATTTTTTGAGCTCATACAAACCTAGGTTAATGTTTTTCTGATCAGTTTCATTTTTTGACTGTGGAGTTTTTAAACATTGCAATGGAGATTTCACCTGTGTAAAGCTACAAGGCCTTTACTATTGTCTTATGTGTTGTACGTTTGTGTGCACTCTTGTGTTTTGTGTTGTATGTCTGTGTGTGCGTATGTCCATATATCGTATATGAGGAGCACTCATGAAAAAATGGATCCGAATTTTTTTTTATTCATGTGATTTAAATGGTTTAATTTAAATTAGGTAAACAGCTGTTAAGGATTGTTTTTAAAGGTGGTAAACAGATCTGTTTGTTTACTTTCACCTTTCCTTTTCATTATATTTAATAATTCTGTTCAGGATGATGTAAATTGTTCAGAAAATTGTTTTCTTAGTACCTGTTGGAATGTTACATATTTTTTTAGCATTATTACCAGAATTCCTATCTTCATCCCAGTGCCAGTGAAGACAAAGATAAAACCAAACTGCAGCTTCTATGATAGCTATCACAGTAAACTGTATAAACTGATGCATCAATGAATAATAACTCAACAAGAAATGCTCAATCAAGGAGTTGATTTACTTTGGGAGGAAATGGACATATTGATAGATTCCTCCGCTTTGAACTGCTTTCAGAACTTGCCTGGACTATGTATCACTTTTATGCATTGTGAACTATCTGTTGGTGCAGCGAATTGTGGTAGTGCTGGCCTATCTTTGCTGATGGTGTCACCGGTGATACAATTTTTCCAAAGGAGCCGTCAATTGGCTTGGTGTCTTGGCATTTCTGTATCCTCCTCCCTTCTGCTAGTGATGGTCTAAAATTTGGGGGCCAACAGAGGTGAGGCAAAGAACCTCACCCCCCCACTGGCACCAAGGCCAAATTTGGGGGCCAACAGAGGTGAGGCAAAGAACCTCACCCCCCCTCCCACTGGTGCATAGGCCTATCCACAAGTATGGCTGTATGCTGGACTGGTAGTCAGTGACGGGTATGATCCAATTGCAGTGGTACCAACCTAAGACAGGAGGCTGACGCCTAGAGGTCAGCTCATCCGATGACGGGTAAGTACCATATGTTGAATTGGACAACCTAACAGGCAGGGTCCCTAAGCCACATTGCTTGTTGTTTATTTAAACAGAAGGGGGGAGATGCTGAGAGCCATAGCCAAGTAGGAATGACGCATGGCATTTTTGGGTTGAAAGGTGACCCTGCTCAGGGATTAGGGTGGCTCCAGGTTTAGGGTGGATCCTGCTGGAATAGGGCGGCTCCAGGTTTAGGGCGGATCCTGCTGGGATTAGGGCATATCCTGCTGCCTCAGGCGCCCGCTCCTTGAGTTCCCGTTGAGTTCTTGCAGGGTTCTGAGAGAATTGGTACGCAGAGCCTGGTGGAGGGAGTGTATTTTTCCTAGAACATGCGCGTGTAGAGTGTCGGTGAGAGTTCGGGAATAAAGAGTTGCTGTTGGAATCTACAAGTTTTTGTGCCTGGACAGACTGGGGCAACTGGACTATTTTGTTTCCACAGGAGAAAATGGGGCTCAGAGAGGTTAAGAACTTGCAAGTGAAAAAAAATAGCAGAGTGGGATTCAAATCCAGAGCTGTCAAAGGTGAAGCTTACATGCCTTCCACTGTGCTCTGCTTCCTGAACCTATAGAAGAGTTTTGGATATAGGGGCCAGAGGATGTAGTAGCCACCTCATTGGTGGCCTATATCTGAATGGAACTGGTTTATAGGCAACTCAAGTTGGGCCCTCAGCCTTGGGGGTGGTCAGGAAGGTGATTGAGCAGGAGGTGAACTGGGACATTGACTGAGGGTAGAAACACCCAGTGCAGGTACCCTGCTATCCAAAGCACTGTGGTTGATGGTAAACTCACAAGCAGGCCACCACTGCAAACAAGGAGGCCTTTTGTGTCAGGTTTCAAAGACCATATTAACTACTGGAAGTCCTGAAGCAACAATCAGGATTCAGGGTCTTGGAGGGGACTGAGGAAGGGAAAGACCATTTTTGCCAGAGCTCAGAGGGTGGGAGTTGGGGGTGTGGGAGGTATATTTGAACTAAGACTCTTGAGATGGAGATCAGGTATGGTCTCATCTTCAGGTGTTTCAAAGCTCATTTGGCTGCAGAGAAACTGGCAGTAATGAGTTCATAGGAGACCCTCACAATTGTCTAGGTGTGAGGCTGACAATTTGGGGTCTATAGCACTAATTGGGTGGGCAGAAGAAAATGGTTCCAGGGGCATTCAGGGGCAGAATCAATAGGACATGGGGAGAGGATGGGCCCAAGAATGATGTCCAGTGTCCGGGTAAATTGTATTGTGATACGAAGGTTCTGCAGAAGCCCAGCCTGTGTCTAGGGAGTGTAGGGGAGGAGGAAAAACCAGGTTCCAGGCTCAGAGGGTAGGGAAACTGAGGCAAAATCCTCTTCCCCAAAACTAGGGCAGGAGAATGAAAGCTGCTATGCCTCAGCAACTGTGTGGGGACCCTGGGTTCATCCTAGCACCCTTGGATAAGGGGTAAACAAAACAAAACAAAACCCAGAATTTTATTCATTCATGTTTATAAATTTTTTTTAGTATTTTGTTTTTTAATGTGTCTACACATAAAATCTGATATTACTTTTCCCATTAATGTTACATAATCACTTTTCATACTGCTACATAGTCTTTATAACCATCACTTATAACATTGATGACTGTTGAATAGTTCTATCATGGTCCAATTTTGGGGTATTTAAGTCTATCTCTATTTAGCCAACAAAAAATGTTGAAAAGGCTATGCCCTCAACCCTCTTCTCCCCCGCCATACTCTTGTTTTTTTTTTTGTTGTTGTTGTTATTTAGGAACAGATTCCCAGGAGTCACATTACTGGGAATCTCAGAATCTTTTGTAAAATTCTTGTTATCTTGCCAAATTGCTTCCCCAAAGCGTTGTTCTAAACTGTAATTTCACTAGCAATGTAGGAGAGAACCATTTTCATGCTTTTTTTTTTTTTTGCCAGAATTGGATACAAAACATTTTTTAAGATGATATTTGATAAGGTGAAAATACACTTTAATATATTTTAATTTGTCTTTTTCCCCATTTATAGTGAGCTTAAGCATTTTTTTATCTCCTGTATCTATTTCCTCTTTTGTTACTCAGTTTCTTTACTCATTTATCTACTGTATTTTAAATATGATCATTTGCCATATTTCAACAACTATTTTTCCACTTTCAAAAATTCCCTCTTCATGCAAAATTATAATCTTTATATACATACAGTTGTTGACATTTTGTGATTTTTTAAAAAATTGCTTCTAAGCTAATACAGTCTCTTTTCAGATATTAGATATTCAGTGGCCAGGCATTGTGGTGCAAGCCTGTAATCCTAGCTATTCAGGAGGTATTCCAAGTTCCAGGCCAGCCTGTCTTAAAATAAAACAATAATAATAATAAAAAAGCATTGGGGATGTCTTAAAATAAAACAATAATAATAATAAAAAAAAGTTCAGTGGTTAAGTGTACCTGGGTTCAACACCAGTATATACCCAAACTGAAAGTGAGGAAACTGCTTATTTTCAAATTGCTAATCGGTTACCTTAACAGTATTTACTAAATTTCTTAACAATGTCAAATTACAATTTTTTTTGTTTACAATTTGTTTTTATCATTGATTAAAATTATATTATATCTAAATTATCTATTATATTTCAATAAGTCTCCCTTTAATTACAAGTTAAACCATTCTAGTAGGATTTAGTAGTTGGTAGAGCTTGTTCCTCTTAATTCTGTTTTAGAGTTTTCTTGGATATTCCTCCTCATCACTTAAAACATTTTGTTAAGTTTCAATGGAATTACCTTCTGGATTTTTATTTATTAAAAAAAACTCTTGACTACAAAAGTAATATATATTTATTAGAAAAAAATCCATAATCTGACCACCCAAAGATGTTTTAAAATCACTTATCTAGTACTCAATTATGTTCCAAATACTCTCTTCCAAATACTAACAAATATTAATTCCTTTTGTGTCTGGGGTGAGTAGAATCATTTCCCAGTATTCCAGGTAAGGAAACTTGATATTATGCCTGTTCTACAAATGAGGACACTTACCCAAGGTGCCAGAGCCATAATTTGAATCAGGACAGTATGGTTCCAGGGCCTGCGCTGAACAAAAAAACCCGCTGACGCTGCCATTCCACCAGATACAATTATTATTCATATTTTAGTGTATTTACTTTGTCTTGTGCAAAGTGAATTGTCCTGTACATATTCTTGTAATCTTTTCACTTAATAGATCATGAACATTTTACTGTATCATAAATCATTCATAAAAACCATTAGAATTTCTCATGCATGTAGAACAATGCATTTAACCAACTTTTCATTTTGGAATAGCTTGCCTCCCATTTTCCCCTGTAATAACACTGCTGACACGTAACCTTCTCAAGTCTAAATCTTTTTACACATCCACATTTTATTATAAATTCTGTAACTGGAATATAATGTTATATATAATACATAAAGTCTTTTGATTCACATCAAATGAAATGGTTCCCCTGTTTGCAGCAGAATAGATATGCAGTCACCTGCAGTGTAAGGACATGCTCCATCTCATCCATATTAGGTCATTAAAAGAGAAAACAAGAACATTATCAATTTGTGATCTCCGGTACCTTTTACATAGAATTGCATTAAATTAAATTAAATTAAAGAGCACCATCTACCGTGGAGAAGCAGCCTATTTGCACGATGAGACATTTATATAAATCACTGCAGCATTGTCTGTCTGTAATACTGAAAAATAAAAATGAACCGAAGAATGGCTACACTCAGCGGCTCTCCACTCCGAGAGCACTCTGCGAGCGTTATGGGGAGGGCAGGAATGCGTGTTTGGTGCAGATGGTGAGAAAGGCAAGGTTCCACTGTCTCTTCTCCACGGCAGGAGCGGCTGCTTCTGGATCAGCTTTTCCGAAGTGCTCTGCTGTGCGCCGGGATTCTGGAGTCTGCTGGGGGTGCACAGATCCGGAATCCGGCTCCGGTCAGGCTCCGACTGGCCAACTGATGCAGGCCAGGGAGACGCCGGTCCTAGGCGCCCACACTTGCCCTCCCCAGAGAGGCGGGACCCTTGGATAGCCGGGCTCCTGGGCGCTGGAGCTGAGTTTCCGGGAGCGGCTCTTAGCAAGGCACCAGCCGGAAGTGCCTGTATTGTGGCGGAAGGAGGCGCTTTCTGGTAGCAGCAGATTCCGAGGGAAGCGTCCCTGGCAAAGATGATTCAGGCGATTCTGGTTTTCAACAATCACGGGAAGCCTCGGCTGGTTCGCTTCTACCAGCGTTTCGTGAGTGCCGCCCGGTTCGCCACGCCCCTTCTGAACGCCCGCGCGCTCTGACCTCCCCCTAGGCCACTAGCCTTCTCCCCGCACTGCCTGCTGACCCCCTCGGGCTACTGCACTGTGCACGACCCTCACGCTACTTAGCCTCTTTCCCTGAACTGGGGGGGTGTCAGTCCTTTGGTTTCCAGTCCCGCTGCCCCCGCTCTTTTCTAAACCCTTTCTAGACTCCATATTTTCTGACATTTGCGTCTCAGCACCAGGTATAAGAGACGGTGGGGAGTGTGTCTCATTGAGAGCTTAAATGGTTTAAGTCACTTTCTTTAATCTTTTTGGTTGTTGACCGACGATTCTCGAGAAAATAGACATTCGGCTTCTTACAGTTTTTGTTTTTCAGGGGATCTGGAAAAATTCTTTCTTGGAATTTTTTTCCCCCTGGTGGTAGCTGGGGCTGCCTAGGGACTACTACCTTTTACTCAGTAGGATTGAAGAAAATCACTTTGAAAATGGAAAAATGATGAGGAATTATACATGCTGCCACGTGAAGACTCAATAAGCATTTCCTTTGAATTTTCCAAAAATGTTCCTCTGGAAAAACAGAAATATCGTTATTTGCTGTCCTGACCCTCAACATTTTATTTCTTCGCGGCTAGGTTTCAAAATTGTTATATAACAGGGAGACTGAAACCCAAAACTTACATTCAGGCCTCAGCTCCACCTTTTCTATTCTTGTGTTTACTGGCAAGTTAATAAACCGATTTCAGACTTTTATTTTCTCTTTTGTCAAATAGAAATGAAAAAATAATTTACTTTTTTTTAAAAAAAAATTTTAAAAGCTAGGTTACATTTTATTGAGTAGATTACATTGAGGTAAAAAAAAATTATGAGCATCCAGTATAACTTTTCAATTTATATTTGAGAGAAGCCCGTGTGTGTGTGTGTGTGTTAGAGAGAGAGGTAAGTCACCATAACATACAGTTCACCTATTTAAAGTGTACAATAACATCCTTCACAGTCAAGTTTAGAACATTTTTATCATCTCGCCCACCAAAGCAACTCCTATCCATTAACAGTGATTCCCTATTTCTCCTTCAACACTCCCAGCCCTAGGCAACCTTTTACATACTTTTTGTCTCTCTTGATTTGCCCATTCTGGACATTGCATATAAATGGATCCATAACAATGTGTAGTCTTTCATTTAGTAAAATGTTCTCAGTGTTCTATGTTGTAGCACGCATGTATCAGTGTTTCATTCCTTTTTATTATCATAATGTTCCATTGTATGGATAATATCATATTTTGTCCATCAGTTGATGTTTCTACTCTTTGCTCTTGTGAATGATGCTGCTATCAACATTCACGAATAAGTTTTTGCATGGACATATATTTTCATTCCTCTTGGCTACACAGCCACAAGTAGAATTGCTGGATCATGTGGTAACTCTGTAGTGTATTTTTTTCAGAAACTGCCAAACAGTTTTACAAGTGGAAGAACCATTTTACATTTCCATAAGCAGTGTATTAGGATTCCTTTTTTCTCCACATCCTCACAAAAACCTGTTGTTTGCCTTTTTAAGTAAAGTCGTTTTAGTGGGTATAAAGTGATTTTCATTTCTATTTCCATAATGACTAATGATGTTGAGCATCTTTTCTTGTGCTTATTGGCCATTTCTATGTCTTTGGATATCATAGGATTTTTATAAGAACTCATGAGTTAATGAGTGAAAGTCCCTTGAAAACTGCAGAGTCCTAAAAAGATATGAGGGGTTGTTAAAAATAACTGAAGCATGGAGGCAATTGGTAGTTTGCCTTTTTGTTGAACTAGAAATTAGTTGGTCTCATTCTTTCATACACCTTCTCACTGCTGCCACTTCCCCTTAGAGTCAGATGAAAGGCTTTAGTTTAAAAGATGTTTTTGTCCGTTTCAAAAAATGCTGATGTTTGGCATGTTTTGTATTTCTGAGCACACAGAGTTAATCTTTTACAACATTCTAGCATCTGTGAGCTTTGTGTGTTCTTTAGGTAGAAACCAGGATAATAGTGATTGATTTACTCTAATTAGCAGTGACCAGTGATTAGCAAGTTTGTATTAATCTATTCAGTAAATACTGAGCCACTCTATACCCACATTGAGTCAAAGTAATTTCCTCATAATGACATTTTCCCTGTTTTCTTTTTCTACTTAATAACTTTTTAAAATTTACTTGATCATATTATCTGACTCTTGGGGCAGGTTCAATCTGAAGATTTTTTTTCTTTTTATTTAAAAATTTAAAAAAAAAATGCTTTGCTACTTACTCAGAGTCCCCAATTCAGCAGCATTGACATCACCTGGGAGCTTGTTAGAACTGCAGTCTCAGCACCTAACCTAAACCTTGTAAATCAGAATCTGCATCTATACAGTAGTCCTAGCTGATTGCTTGCACATTAGTAGATTTGAGAACTTGGGACTAGAGCTTTTCATTACTTTCTGTCTAATTGACCGGCTTCTCCCTCCTATTATCCTTTTTTTATGTTACCGTACTAGTAATATTGTGAAACACATATGTAGAAGTGGAAGTAAAATGTGAGTTATCAAGTGTGTAGTAATTGAATGGTAAGTGCAAAAAAATTATTTGTAGCTCTGTTCAACTGTTCTAAATTCTCAACTGTGCAAAGAACTTTTTCTGTCTTTTTCAATAACTTTGTTGATAACAGCTTTCTTTCTTTCTTTTTTTTTCCTTAGCAGTACTGGGAATCGAACCCAGTAGCACTCTTACCACTGAGCTACACCTCAAGCTCATTTAAAACTTTTATTTTGAGACAGGGTTTTGCTGAGTTGCCCAGACTGGCCTTAGACTTGTAATTCTCCTGCCAGCCTCCCAAGTGCCTGGGATTACAGGCATTCACTGCTTTACCCCACTGGTAACATCGATTTTATATGTAGTACCTGTGTAACCACTACAAACGAGGGCAAATTTAGTTTCTTAAAACATGTAAATGATTACATCTTGATCTTCATGGAGTGTTAGAACCATCGAGGTTTGTTATTTACTTGTCATAGATGTTTTCCAGTTGAAGACAAAATACTTTAGGATCAGGATTTTGATTATTCTTTGCATGAGTTTTTATTTATAAAGCTGTGCTGGGATCAGACTTAAGGCTCTTTATGTTGCTAAGCAAGCATTTTACCACTGAGCTATGTCTGCAGCCCTGCAGCTTACTTATAAGATAGTTAGTGACCAAGATACCTAGTACATATACCCTGTCTTAATTCCTATAGCAAATTCTGTTTTTCTATAGTCACTGTTTTTTCACTACCCATTGTTTTTATCTTTTTGGGAAACTAGTACTAAATGTTGTTCCCAATTTTGAAGCACTTGTTTTCCCTGGCCATCCTCAATGATGGGATGTAGTTTTTAAAATTTGTCCTCTGATTTACCTTGTTACTGTTGTTGTTTTGTCCATAGCCAGAAGAAATTCAACAGCAGATTGTTCGAGAGACTTTCCATCTAGTCCTCAAGAGGGATGACAACATCTGTAACTTCTTGGAGGGTGGAAGGTAAACTGTCAGCTTCACTTTTCTCTCCATATCACCACTTTTGGGTGGCCTTCATCATTATTGCTGCTTCTGTCATACTCTAGTATGTGTGTACTTGATGCAACTTGAACATGATTTACTCAAGAGCCCAGTTCTGTTTGTGAAGCAGTTGCATTATTGTGCTTCATGTATTACACAGGTAGATATTTGGTGCCTAGGAGGATTGGCAGGAAAAAAGGTGAGTTAAGGTGGCTTTAGGTATCTCTACCAAACTTGGTTGCCATTTACATGGTAGAAATGGTCTGCTTCTAGCATTTAGCTTTCCCTTTTTGATTGGGCCCTTTCTCATTCCTTGGCAGAGTTTAAAATAAAGACGTTTAAATGTTTCCCATCTTCCACAGTTTGATTGGTGGTGCTGACTACAAATTGATTTACCGGCACTATGCTACCCTCTACTTTGTATTTTGTGTGGATTCATCAGAGAGTGAACTTGGGATCTTGGACCTCATTCAGGTATGTGTAGTCAGCTAATGATGCAGCAATTTTTCAGAGATTGCGGGTATTTTTGAAAAGTCCAATCTGTAGTTCCTTTTGTCATTCTCCTTATTGATAGTGGTAAAAGTTGCTGGATGTCCACTAGATGGTGCTGTGGGAAAGCTCAGTAGCAACCCTAAAAGACAGCTTTGGGTTTTATTTGTTTCAACCCAGCCTTTATACTGCACTTGGTCTTCATGTTTTAAATTTTCTTTCATCTATCAAATTAACGTGCCTCCCCCTTTTTTTTCTCTTGATACTAGCGTTTGAACCCAGGGATGCTTACATCCCTAGCCTTTTTTATTTTGTGACATAGAGTCTTGCCAAGTTGCTGAGGCTGGCCTTGAACTTGGGATCTTCCTACCACAACCTCCTGAGTTGCTGGGGTTATAGGTATGCACCCCCATGCCCAGCTAACATTTATGCTTTTTATTTTCACCTACAGTGGTAGCCTAAAGCAAGAAACTTGACACTTTAGTCTATGGAGTCTTGACTAAGTAAAAATCATTTTTGTTGCGCTTTTTGAAAATTAGAAATTACTTGAAGATTGATTTCATTGCCTTCTTAGAAACTGAAACATGGGGTTGGGGGTGTAGCCTATGATAGGTAATATGTGCAATATCCTGGATTCCATCCCTAGCACCAAAGAAAGGAAAAAAGAGAGAAGTGTAGTTTTATAATTTAATGGACATTTGTTAAGTATTTAGTGTGCATTGGATTTAGGATGATCAAATCAGTAAGGTGTAAATAGAAACTAAGAGGTTTAACCTTTGAAAAACAGTAAAAATCAGTAAATAGTTGACTTAATTGATAATTTATGATATAAGGAATCTGAAAATCAGAATGATAAAACATTTTTAGAGGCTGACACATAATTATGTCATTAATATATTTGAAATAGCTGAAACAAAAAAATAAATGCCCAAATGAGGTCAATACAAAGGTACCTGGAATAATTCTATATTAGGATGAAATAAGAAATGTTTAAAAAAGAAAAAAAGAAGAAGAAGAAAGAACTGACTCTAGAGGTTTTTAAACCTAGAACAGCAACAAACCCATACTGCTTTTATGGAGTAAATTGTTTATCATTCAGAAACCTTACTATAAAAGGAAAATGTTTTCAAATATTACATATTGGTATTGGTACAAAATTAGTTAAAAAAAAAAAAAAAAACTTAAGCCAAATATTGAGCCAAGGGGTTGTAAGTCTTGGTTTCTCGTCCTTCAACAAATCATTTAAGCTTTATTGGCTTTAAATGTTTTTGTTTGCATTTTGACTGTTCTGTGTGTGTAGGTTTTTCTGATTTACAAAGATACCAGATACTCTTTTCTAACCCTAAAATTCTTTCTCTATCAGGAATATTAGAAGAATATAGATTGAGCATCCTGATCCAAAACCTAAAATCTGATATGCTCCACAATCCACAATTTTTGAGCACAAGTAGAAAATTCTATACTTGATCTCATATGATGGGTCACAGTCAAAATGCAGGTCTGCTAAAAGTATTATATAGTTACTTCAGTGGTACATGTATGAGGTATATATGAAATGCAAATGAATTTTGTCTAGACTTGGGTCCCATTCCCAAGATATCTCAGTATGTTTATGCAAACATTCTTTTTTTTTTAAAGTCCTAATTCTGTAGGACTTTTTTTTTTTTTAATATTTATTTTTTTAGGTGTAGATGGATACAACACAATGCCATTATTTTTATGTGGTGCTGAGGATTGAACCCGGGTCCCGCCTGTGCTAGGCAAGCGCTCTACTGCTGAGCCACAATCCCAGCCCCGCAAACATTCTTAAATCTGAAAAAATTCTAAAATTTGAAGCACTTCTGGATCTGGGCATTTTATATAATGATTACTCAACCTGTTTTTTTTTTTTTTTTTAATATTATTTATTTTTTTAGTTTTCGGCAGACACAACATCTTTGTTTGTATGTGGTGCTGAGGATCGAACCCGGGCCGCACGCATGCCAGGCAAGCGCACTACCACTTGAGCCACATCCCCAGCCCCTCAACCTGTATTGATGGTCAAAATTATATTTATCCTAGCTAGGTGTGGTGCCACATGCCTGTAATCCCAGAGGCTCAGAAGGCTGAGGCAGGAGAAGTTCCAAACCGGCCTCAGCCACTTATCGAGGCCTTAAGCAACTTTGTGAGACCCTGTCTCAAAATTAAAAGGGGATGTGACTCAGTGGTCGAGCATTCCTGGGTTCAATCTCTGGTAACAACAAAATTATATTTATCCTAAGAATACAAAGCAATTTAATAAAGAAAAATTCTTAAAGAGACTATTAGAGAAGCTAATATACATGTGTCGGGAGATGCTGAGAAGTGATTATACAGATTCTATTCCTAAGTCATATTCTAAAATTGGAATAAGAAGCATTTTTATTTGATTAAAAAGTATATATGTATTTAATTGGTATAAACTTTATTTTTTTAAGAAATAATACGTTTATATGTTTCAGAATTCCAAAGGTACATATAAGTATACAGTGAAAAATATCCTCCTTCCCCTCTCTCCCAGTAACCTGGTTTACTTTATAAATGCAACCAATTTTAGTTTAAAACTAAGAGCCAGAGCCTGTGTTATATCAGGGAACATCTATAGGTATTTATGAAAACAAGGGTATCTCATACATTTACTCCAATTTTACAAAAACAAATGATAAAAGAAATAGAAAGCTGGGCATGGTTGTGTGCACCAATAGCCCCAGCTACTTGGAAGGCTAAATGGGGGGGATGGTTTGAGACTGGCCTGGGCAACACAGGGAGACCCTCTCTCTCTCTCTCTCTCTCTCTCTCTCTCTCTCTCTCTCACACACACACACACACACACCCCTGATAAAAAGAAATCAACTAGAAAAAACAGAAGAACATAATGAATGATATGAGCAAAATGGCAGAATATGAGATAAATCCATCAAGATTGAATTTCCTATTTCTATGAAAATGGAGAAAATTTGCAAAGAAATTTTATTACAATAGTATTTCAGCATTTAGACTACTACTGATGACAGTAGTCTCAGAGGTACTAATCAGTATATCAGATGGGAAATCAAGAATTGTTCCATCAGAAGGTCTTAACCCAGTAAAGGGAAACCTTATTAAGGAAAATGAGTGACCAAGAAATGCAAAAGAATATTTTGAGAAAAAAAGGATGGTAATGGGGGATAGGCTTTATTATTAGGCTTTAGAATATGTAAGAGTTGGAGGTGAATTAATTACCTAGACAATCCAAATCAACTGGAAACAATTAGAACCACTAATAGAGTTCAGTAAGATTGCAGGATGCAAGTTTAACTTACAGAAATTAGTAGTTTTCCCTTAGTAGTAAATTTGAAAACGTAATATTAAAGCAGCTTATTCACAATTGCAAAAAGTTGGATAAGTTTGAAATGTAGAAAACGTGTAAGATGTAAATGAAGAAGACTTAAAACTCAGCTAAAAATATGAAAAAAGAACAAAGTAAATGAAAATAATTACTTTCCTTTCCTGTTGAGAAAGCTTTAAAATGTCAGTGTTTCCGGATTATAAATTTGTGAAAACCCAATCAGAATCCTAGTAAGATTGTTATTCTTAAATTAATTTTATTGTGAGATATATATGTAGAAAAGTAAAGATATACCTGTACAGTTGTATAGTTTAAAGAATGCTAAGAAAATATACATCTGTATACCTGTCTATGTAGAATATTACTAGTACCTTGAAATCTCCTGTATACCCCTACTCAGTCTAATTCCCTTCCCTGTTTGGATTCCTCCTCAAATTCTATTTTATTTGTTGTTTGTTTGCTTGCTTGTTTCGCAGTCTTGGGATTGAATCCAGGGGTGCTCTACTGTTGAGCTACACCTCCAGCCCTTTTAATTTTTAATTTTTAGACAGGGTCTTGCTTGGTTGCTCAGGCTGGCTTCAAACTTGCCATCTTCCTGACTCAGTTTTCTGAGTAGCTGAGATTACAGGAGTGTACCACTGTGCTTACCTCCTCATATACCTGAGTTGATGATCATTCTTTTGCTTCTTTTTATGGTTTTATGATGTGATGAATATCCCTAAGTGATATTTTGCTTGGTCTGGCAAAACCAGATGTCAAGCACAGACTTAGCTGTATAAGAAAAGAGCAATTGCTTTCACAAGATCATGGCTGTGTTCCAATTTGGCTTCAGTGTCCTTTGACAGTTTTTATAGAGCTTCTTTGGGAAAAGTCAGAGGGCAAGATCATGTAAGTGAGCCCAGGAAAACCTACTGCCTACTACAGGTTCTGGTGTTCAGCAGAAACATGGACTTCACATTTTCTGCTTCTGAGTTTGTCATGACTTACCTCTGTATTTTAAGAGTAGGTCAAAGCAGAACATTGTGGTAGGGATAAAATGAATGTTCTCAACTGAACCAGTCAGCAGAATGCTTAGGGAAACAAGCACTACATACTTTGCAGTTTACTTTTTTTTTTAATTTTTTTCAGAGTTAGGAATGGAACCCAGGGCCTCATACATATTAAGCAAGCACTCTTACCACTGAATGCTTTTTAGCATGTTTTTTTAAAAAATAACATTTTTAAAAAATGTTCTATTAAGACAGGATCTTGCTGAGTTACTCAGACTGGCCTATGTCATGCAATCTTTCTGCCTCAGCCTCCCAAATAGCTGCGATTACAAGCATGGACTACCATGCTTGGCTTGATTGATTCCATTTTACTATTTCTTTAAATTAATATTTCTCTAATTCTTTATGCATGTTATTGTTCCTATTCACACCTCGTAAGAGCAGAATATCAGAATCAAAGAGAATTAATATTTCTAGTTATAATACATATTGCTAGATAGCTATTCAGAAAGACTATTAAATTTGTAATACCTCCAGCACTATATAAGTTTGTGTTCTGTCCTAGCTCCAACACAGAAGTATGTCATTTTAAATGTCTACTCAGAGATAGGCATACCTCACAAATAGTTGAATTTTTATTAGTCATGCTT